GTTAATTTCCTCAACCATAACAACAATGAAGACACAAGTTACTAAAGCTTCTGGGATACAGCAAAAGCAGTATGAAGAGGAAAATTTTATTGCGCTACATGCCTACCTTCAAAAAATAGAAAGTGAGTGCATCAGCACACTCACAGACCATCTTATAGAACTGGAAAAAGAAGAACAATCTAACCCTAAAACAGCAGAAGAAAAGAAATAGCCAAAATTAAATCAGAGATTAATGAAATTGAAAACAAAAAAATCATTCAGAAAATTAATGAAATGAAAAGTTGGATTTTTTGAAAAAGTAAATATAATTGATAGACCTTTGGCCAGACTAACTAGAAACAGAAAAGAAAAATCTCTAGTAACCTCAATAAGAAATGATAAAGGGGAAATAACAACAGGTGCCATAGAGATACAAGGGATTATCTCTGAATACTACAAGAAACTCTATGCCCAGAAATTTGACAATGTGGAGGAAATGGATCAATACTTAGAATCACAACCTCTCCCTACACTTCATCAAGAAGAAATAGATCTCCTGAAAAGACCAATTTCAAGCATTGAGATCAAAGAAACAACAAAAAAATATCCCAATGAAAAAAATGCCCTGCTCCAGATGGCTTCATACCAGAATTCTATGAAACTTTCAAAGAAGAGCTTATACTGATACTACAGAAATTATTCCAAAAAATTGAGAAGGAAGGAATCTTCCCCAACATGTTCTATGAAGCAAACATCACTCTGATACCAAAACCAAGAAAAGACCCAACTAAAAAAGAGAACTACAGACTAATTTCACTAATGAATATAGATGCAAAAATTCTCAACAAAACCCTAGCCAGTGGATACAGCTTATCGTTAAAAAAGTCATGCATGATGATCAAGTAGGTTTAATCCCAGGGAGGCAAGGCTGGTTTAACATATTGAAGTCCATAAATGTAATTCACCATATCAACAGAAGCAAAACAAAGATCATAGCCTCTCAATAGATGCAGAAAAAGCATTCGATAAAATTGAACATCCCTTTCTAATTAGAACTCTGAAAAACATAGGCACTAGCACATTACTGTTTTCCTTTTTTGTTTGTTTGGTTGGTGGTGGTGGTTGTTGTTGTTTTTTTTTTGAGACAGAGACTCAATGCTGTCACCCTGGGTAGAGTGCTGTGGTATCATAGCACACAGCAACTTCCAACTCTTGGGCTCAAACGATCCTCTTGCCTCAGTTTTTTTCTGTTTTTAGTGGAGACAGGCAAGGGTCTTGCTTTTACTCAGGCTGGTCTTGAATTCCTGAACTCAAGCAATCCACCCTCCTTGGCCTCCCAGAGTGCTAGGATTACAGGGGTGAACCACTGTGCCTGACTCAGCACATTTCTTTCTTTTTTTTTTTTTCTTTTTGAGACATAGTCTCACTATGTTGCCCTCAGTAGAATGCCACAGGTCACAGCAACCTCAAACTCTTGGGCTTAAGTGATTCTCTTGCCTCAGCCTCCCAAGTAGCTGAGACAACATGTGCCCTCCACAATGCCTGGCTATTTTTTGTCGCAGTTATCATTGTTGGTTAGCTGGCCTGATCTGAGTTCGAACCTGCCAACTTCAGTGTATGTGGCTGGCACTGTAACCACTGTGCTACAGGTGCTGAGTCCCAGCACATTTCTTAAACTGATCGAAGCCATCTATAACAAACCCACAGCTAATATTATACTCAGTGGAATAAAACTGAAAGCCTTTCCCCGGAGAACTGGAACGAGACAAGGTCGTTCTCTATCACCACTACTATTCAACATAGTGCTGGAAGTTCTAGCTAATACAATCAGGTAAGAGAAGGGCATCCAAATGAGGGTAGAGGAAGTGAAACTCTCCCTCTTTGCTGACGATATGATCTTATACTCAGAGAACCCCAAAGACTCAACAAAAGACTCCCTAAAAGTCAAAAAATACAGTAGCATCTCAAGATATAAAATCAAGGTCCACAAATCACTAGCCTTTGTATAAGCTAATAACAGCCAAGATGAGAAACTAATCAAGGACACAGTTCCCTTCTCAGTAACTTCAAAGAAAATGAAATACCTGGGAATATACCTAACAAAAGAGGTGAAAGACCTCTACAGAGAAAACTATGAAACCTAAGGAAAGAAATAGCAGAAGGTATTAACAAATGGAAGAACATACCATCCTCATGGCTGGGAAGAATCAACATTGCTTTAAAATGTCTGTACTTCTCAAAGCAATCTATAGATTCAATGCAATCTCCATTAAAATACCAATGTCATACTTTCAAGATTTGGAAATAATAATTTTTCATTTTGTATAGAACCAGAAAAAACCCATATAGCTAAGGCAATTCTTAGTAATAAAACCAAGGCTGGAGCATTAGCCTACCAGACTTTAGTATATACTACAAGGTCATATTTTTATTTATTTATTTATGTATTTACTGTTTGAGACAGAGTTTCACTTTGTCACCCTCAATAGAGTGCCACAGCATCACAGCTCACAGCAAACTCAAATTCTTGGGCTCAAGTGATTCTCTTGCCTCAGCTTCCCAAGTAGCTGGAACTACAGGCACAACACCTGGCTATTTTTTTAGAGATGAGGTCTCGCTGTGGCTCAGACTGATCTCAGATTCGTGAGCTCAGGCAGTCCACCTGCCTCAGCCTCCCAGAGTGCTGGGATTACAGGTGTGAGCCACTGCATCTGGCCTCTATTTATTTATTTTTTTTAGAGATGGAGTCTAGCTGTGCTGCCTAGGCTGGAGTGCAGTGGCTATTCTTAGAGGTAATCATAGTGCACTGTAGCCTTGAACTCCTGGGTTCAAGTGATCATCTACCTTAGCTTCTGAGTAGTTGGGGCTACAAGCATGTGAGATTTATATTTTTAGCCCTGTTTTCTCTTCCGAGATTCTCTCTCCCTTCTGCAAACTATAGAATATGTGGCTTAGTAAAATGGAAAGCATTTGGATTGGATTTCACAGCATATATTTCTGGCCAGTTACTAAAGCTTCTTTTCCCTTTTGGAGTAAAGTAAATACTTCAAATATGCTTTTTTTCTTCACAAGTACTTATTAAATTCTGAAGCCTCTATAATCTTTGTAGCAGCACTGTCAAATAGACCTTACTAAGACTAAGGAAAGGTCTTATGTCTCTTCTACCAAGATAGTAGCCTATAGGTATGTGTTTCTATGAAACACTTAAAATGTGGCTAGAGTACCTTAAAAACAGTTTTTATTTTAATATTAAATAAATTTAAATGGCCCATCTGGCCAGTGGCTATTGTATTGGACAACTTAACTCTGTAGCATGATGGATGGATGGATGGATGGATACCTACGTATACCCTTGCATGCTTGACACATACTAGTTTTTCCTCCTGAGCCGAACAGAGTTGTAGTACTGGAATATGCAAATAGAAGCCCTCTCCAATGTAGTTGGCATTTATTTATTTACTTAGTTATGAAATACTTTTGTGGTCTAAAAACTGGTTTGTTAAAATAATTTTTCCTTTAAGTAGTAATGGTGAAAGACTAGGTTAGTAAAGGACCAAGTTACTTTCAAGAGATACAATAATTGTGTATAATGTTTTACCCCATATTCCTGTAATATTAGACACTTAAATTTGTAACTGGAGTAATAGAGTTAGTGCAAGAAAAAGCAATAGAATAGTTGCAAAATTATAAAAGGTATTCTAGATC